AGTTTAGGAAACGGTTTGGCGAACTATTATCAGATTTAGGAAACGGTTCCATGGAACCGGTGCGAATAGCCTGGATCCCACCTCTGAGTGGAACTTTGCCATTATCCTGGTATGCTTTATAGAATGGTTTATCAGTTGCTTTCTTGTTATACATTGCTGAATTCTAAGTTATAAAAATAGTCTATAGGGACAAAAAACTTTATTATAATTGCCAGCCACTTGGTAATGTGGGACTAGAGCTCTGTCCAGCAACATCCCACATCACTTGTTTGATCATTTATTCAGCTTTCAAGAGCCCATGTTGCAGCAGAACTGGTGAGCTGAAACCATAAGTTAATCTAGTTCTCAAAAAAAAAACCCCTCTGGTTTCTGAATGTGGGATATTGTGCTTCTATACCCATGATTCAAATGGCCAGGATATGGCTAATATTGCTGCCAGCAGGAAAAAAAGATGTGAAGCTTTAGATAGCAAAGGGCAGACTGAACATTGAGAACACCAATGGCAGCAGTCAAAATAGTCCACAGGACACTCCCTTCTGCTCACTACCATTCACAAAGTGACACCACGCATGGGAAAATCCCAGAAGTTGACTTATTTTTTCATCAGTTAACCACTTCTCACCCAAATACAAAGTAGTTGTCAGGGCTATTTTTCAATGAAGGAGCAGAGAAGCGTATCCTGTAGAGAGATTTCTAGACAATTAGAGTACATGCTGTCAGGTGATATCATGAATTTAAATTGCACCTCAAACTTTATCAAAACTGTTTGGAACAAGAAAGGAAGAAATGTTTGACCATCCATTTTTTAAAATATGAAGCTTAAACTGTCTCCATTCTGGACAAAGCAGACAGGGTCCTTTATGGGTTTGGAGGAAAGGTGGGTGACCTCAGTGGGACCAAGGGTCTTTTGTTAACTTTAGAAACACCCCACGGGCCACACTTCTTAATTTCTGTATTTAATTTTTAAGTCTATTTTAGTTTATTAAAGTTAATACAATGATTGTATACTGTAAAGATTCCTACAGCTGGCTTTTGTTAACTGAAGAATGAGTTTAACTTAAAAAAAAATTAACCAGCGGTAGGGATAATCCATCTAAGAGTACAATCCTAACTAACCAAGATGACAGTGGGGTGGCTGACACTATCCAGCTGAAACTATGCTGAATTAAAAGCCCTCCCAGCCTAGGAATGTTGAGAATTATTTAAGATGATATGACTTTTATATATGACTCATTCTGAATTGAGAGAAATTTTGATCTGGTATAACTTGGCTCCTGCCCTTCCCCGACCCTTCCCTTTTCTGCCTCTATTATGGCACTTCTGCTGGCTAACAGCCAGCTCAGCCATTGTGCCAGCATATTTGAGATCAGCCAGCATAAGAGAGTTGTGCCAACACAAAGACAGTTGTGTTGGCACAAGAAGCTTTTGCTTATCCAGACCCTCTTCAGCTGGAATTTGCATTGCATTGCATTGCCTGATGGTAAGGAAATGATCTCAATTAAAAAAAAATCCCCTCAAAGTGATCCTCAAATCTTTTAATTGTTTCACAAAAGTCATAAGTAAAAGTAGTGAATATTGTGGTGGTGGTGGGGAGCGGAAGTGTTATAATTTGCCACTGTACTTTTTAAAAGAATTTTGTTCTCCCTTGTTATCTGTCAAAGCACCATATCATAGCTCATGTCACTGCTTGCTAGGTGGTATCTCCAGGCTGTGTTCATTAGCCATTCAGCAGTGAAATCCTATGCTGAAAGAGGAATTTTACACCATCTCATTTTTAATTTGGGATACATAAAGGTCCACAAATTTATTAAACAACAAAAGAACATGTAGCTTCATAAAACTGTTCAGTAGAGACCTAAAATATGACCATACAGGTTGTTAGCTGAATCCTAAACTCAATTGGGCAGTTTTGGAAAGATTTAAGAGATCTCCAGATTAAAGTAAAGCTCTGAAGCAGACTGAATAGGCATCTGACCTCACCCAAAGTTCTGTGAGCAGTGTAGATTCAGAGTATCACAGAGGGTGTAGCATTTGGAACTTACTTGAAAAATGCCAGTGGTTGAAACCTTTTGACCTTTAACCACTGTGTATTCATAACCACAGCCATCATGTACCCCATTCTATTGCTTCTTTTATATCATTGATTCAGTTGAACAGAAATTGTGGAGAGAGGAGCCTTACATTTTTATTCATTTGTTATTACTCCATAACCTATCATTTCAATTTCTGCCTAGGAATACCTTTTCGATATACACCATTCTCATATAAATAGTTAAATACTTCACAAAGGTGGATTAGAACAGTGGTTCTGAAACTTGGGTTCCCAGATGTTTTTGGATTGCAACTCCCAGAAATCCTGGCTAGCACAGCAAGTGGTGAAGGCTTCTGGGAATTGCAGTCCAAGAATATCTGGGGACCCCAGTTTGAGAACCACTGGATTAGAGGAAGTGACTCATACCACTTCCCTACACACACAAAACCTCTTTGGAACTATCCTTCTGAAAGTATCCAGATTTCTTAGCTGGGGCTACTTTTATTTTATATGCTACATTCATAACAATTAAGAAAATATTGCCAATTCTTTTTCTGTTTTGAAAAACCAGAATTTAAATGTATGCAGTACTTCCCATTTCCCCGACATACTGTCCATGTCTATTTGTTTGAACATTGGCAGGCTTTATCTCTTCATAATGGGCTACTCTGCTTTCATGTTTCATGCAGTTCTAACAAAGAAAAAAAATATTACACCTATTTATTGTTTTCCAATAGTCAGTGGGTGGCATGAGGATTTGAACTTCCAAACTGAAGTCAAATTGGACAGCTCTAAAATTGCGCAGCTGAAGCAAATCAGGCTCTGGTGAAGCTCTGCCAGAAAGATGCAACTGAATGTTATTCACAATTATCTCCAAATTTATGCAACATCAACCATGGATGCAGTCAGGTGGATTTTTGTACTGCAGTTTAGTCTGTTTTGGGGATGGGCTAATTTTGTCTTTTTTCAATTATGTGTCATCATGAACCAATCATCCCCTTATCCAACCCCCACTACACCTTTCTGGGTTCCTGTCAAGTGCTGCTCTTTTTTGCTGCAGGTAGGATCACAACGTTTTGGTTTGGTTCCATGATGCATAATCACTGAGAATAAACCAAAGCAAACCTCTGAAGCAGCTCAAACCACCAGCATTTCTACAGCATTTTAACTAGCTGTATTTGGCATTAACTTTTATGGATAGCCAACATGAAACCTAAGCTATATTGCTAGTGTTTTAAAACACTGCAAGTTTTTTAAATTTTTTTTAAAAATATAATTTATACAAAAAACTCTCAAACAGAAAAAGAAGAAAGCATGTAATAAACAAATAACTAAATACACAGTCTGTCCCCCACACTGGGAACATTTGGAAGTAACAACGTATGCCATTTACCCTTATGGAGCCCCATCTCCCTTCCAGAATTGTATTAACTCCTTCAATGGGTGTTGCCCTTTCCCTTTTACTAACACAAAATTGATAAATTCTCCCTGTATATCTATTAATTCTTCTCTGCCTGTTACCCACTCATAACTTCTGTGTTGCAACTAAGCTTATCATTGATAGCTGTACGTATTCCAAACTTCCCTATACCAAACATGTAATTGGAAATTATAAATACTTTTTTAATTTCTCACAGTCATAGAATCAGAGAAAAGTGAAGTTAGAAGGGGCCTACAAGACATCAAGTCCAACCCCCTGTTCAGTGCAGGAATGCAATCAAAGCAGATCGGCCAGGTGATTATCTAAGATTATTTTGAATGCCTCCAGTGTTGGAGCACTCACAGCTCCCATGGTAACTGGTTCCACTGTCGTACTGCTCTAACAGTTAGGAGGTTTTCCTGATATTCAGTTGAAATCTGGCTTCCTTTAACTTGAGCCCATTGTTGGATGTTCTGCACTCTGGGATGATCTTGTCCCTCCTCTGTATGACAGCCTTTCAAATATTTGAAAAGTGCTATCATATCACCCTTTAGTCTTCTTTTCTCAAGGCTAATCTTCAATCTTTCTGCTGTTAATAAATTGGAAATGAATTCCTTATTTATTCAATTACCTTCCCCCTTTTCAGTTATTGATAAAGCATTATTTTAGGACATGCAGTGGTTTAGCTTGCTTATTTCATTTATTTCCTTAAAAACAATTGCCAATATTTCAATATATGCCCACATTCCCACCACATATGAAAATAAGTACCTACTGCAAGACTTGTTATTACTTTGTCTTGCAACATGCTTCATCCCTTTGGAATTATCTGTGGAAATAAACCAATAATTCATGACTGTAACAACAGAAATCCCTGGCAAAGATAGGCAGAACTCAGTATTCTCAGTGGCTAAATGGAAAGAGGAATTTGCTGTGGACCAAATATTGACACCACCATTAACCAGAGATGAGGACTCAA